TTTAATTAATCCACATACCAACCTTAAGAGGTAGATTTTGTCATCACCACTATTTTATGAATGAAGACACTGATTTAGAAGAGTTAAGTCACTTGTCCAAGGGCCCACAGTTAAAGATCTGCGATTCTGAGGTCACAGAGTCAGCATCATTACTCTGCTCTGCTGCCTGTTAGGTTGATAGAACCCATTGTCTACAGTCCGGGACCTTTGCCAATGGTACCCAGAGAACGGAAATGCAGACAGAGGATCCTGGGGAACCTTCTCTCGTTCTTTCTCCACCTCATCGCTGAATCCCAAGAACAGCTCAAGTCTACTAAAACTCTAAGACAAAAGATTGATTTCTTAAGTTTTCTTCTCTAGAATTCTCAAGGCTGAGGACAATGGAGATAGAACTTCTAATGAGCAAGCAAATGTGTCTGAGAAGAGGGCACTGAGGGCTGCGGGGAGAGGCTTAAGGAATACGGCGCCATCATCGGAAGGGCCAAGGGTCCTCGGCCTCTCATTTGGCAGAATATGCTACGCCCTCTGAGCTGCAAGATTTCATGCAAATGACCACTCCAAGACCAAAGAGAGGGAGGGAGGTGAAGACAGGGCTAAAGGGTGGATGGATGGTTGGATGAAAGGAAATAAAAAATATGAGTTAATATGCTGTCACTTTTATGCAATGTGCCTTATCTGTTTTCCTGGCTGTGGGTCCCCCTCAAATTCATAAGGTGAAATCCTAATGCCTTTGAAAGGTGACTAGGTCACAAGGGCAAAGCCCTCGTGAATGGGATCTGAGCCCTTATAAAAGAGGTCCCACAGAGCTCATGTGAGGATACGAGAAACCTGCAACCCAGAAAGCCCTCAATCCAACCATGCTGACACCCTGATCTTGGCCTTCAGCCTCCAGACCGGTGAGAAATAAATTTCTGTTATAAGCCACCCAGTCTGTGGTATGTTCTCATAGCAACCCAAATGGACTAAGACACTGGCTTACCAGAAACATAAAAACTAGCCTACATTAATTAAATCTATAAAGTGTGTACTAAGCTCTACTTTTTTCTACTTCCCAGAGGAAGTCCCTATTTTAAAGTCCCTATTATGATTTTTCATTGGTTGATCCCCTATATTAGACCATAAACATTAAAGGCAGTAGAATCAATGTGAATGAATGTGTGAGCTCTTTGAAGACAGGATTTTCACTCGGTTTTGTATCCTTAGCACTAAGCAAAAGGCAGCCTTTGAGCAAACATATGCAACCTATCACAGAAGAGCCATACTCACCCAGAGCAGACCTGGGAGCACATCACAAGATTAAAACAACAGAGGCAGAGTTTGTCGCTGAGGATTGGGTCCAGGTGTGCTCATAAACCTTCCCAGGAGGCGCACCCTCCTCATTACCTTGGCATTTTAGAAGGTCTATTTAGATGACCTTCTGCAAATACACTGGGATGCTAAATGAGATCTCCCTCTGTGATCTTGGAAACCATCTGTCTTGGCTCCAGAGACACTATTTATAGCAGATAGGACTGATGTGGTGTCAAGACCAAGTCCCAGAGGCTTAATTTCACTAAAGACAGCAAAAATATCTGTTGGATATACAACAAAGAGGGCACAGATCCTAATTGGGAGGGTTGGACAGATGCTTAAGACGGGTCACCAGCATGCAAAATGTGCTCTTTCCCAGCACCAGAGCCGAAGCAAGGATACATCACGTAATCAAATGTGCAAGGGCAAGTGCAAAGGCACTTCTGAGAGTGGGTCTCGACATTGTCCACAGCTCCCTTTCATGTGCTCTCATCTTGGTTTGCTAGCTTCCTGCTGGCTGGATGCCCTCCGAGGACCTGACTGGATCATGTGACCTGGAGTGTCGATTAGGCTGCATGTTCCATGTCAAAATTTGGAGGGGGGGAAAAAAAAGATCTTTACTGGGATTAATAATGGTTTTATTTGTTAAAGCACCTCCACCTGCGCTGTTCAGCCTCACCAAAACGACATGTCTATATATTACTGTGAGTCTAACTTACAGCTTTTGATGGGGTACCCAGGATTAGGAAATAAAAGCTGTGTCCCATTTCTCATTTTTAAGTGGCGCTTATCTTTCCAAGGACAATGGGATTTACAGCATCAAAAGGCAGGACAATATATTATGAATCTCAAGATGCTCTTAAGAAAATTTTGGGCTGCCTCATGGTGGTAAGAGAAGCGGAGCATAGTATTTAGCAAACAGCCTCACACCCAGAATAAAGAAGGTGACACTGAGCAGGAGAAGCCCTCCCAGGCAGGCAGACAGTAGCACAAATGAGCAATATTAAAGACCCAGGAGCAGCGTAGGCACAGCTTATTCAGGGATTCTAACCAACCCACACAAGGCAAACTCATATTAATAACAACAAAAGCAAAAATACATATATCAGCTAACAAACTCATTCAGCTAGGCCAGACATGCTGACCAAAGTCTTCTGATTTCCTAGGGGAAATCTAGTTCTGCCTTCTGTTAAGCAGTATAAAGAGATTTATATTTGCAAGAAATAAATCAGAGGGTTCCTTTTTGTTTATGGAAGAATTCACTACAGAACTTTCTTTGACCCATTTCAAATGTAGATTTATTTATACAATTTAATTATTAAACATTCAGAAACATCTCTTTAGGAAAATGAGAAAACAGGCCCTGGAAGGAAGAGATACACCCAATATTCAGGGTGAACCAGTAGTTTCTAAATATCACCCCAATGGCCTTAGTAATATATACATTTAATTTGCTACTCTTTATAAAGTCTCTGATCCTCACCACATCAGGCTAAGCGCCATATATTGGTCTTCTCTTCGATCCTCCCAGCAACTCCGTAAGGTAGTTGCCATCACCATTAATAGATCAGGAAATGGACTCTGAGGGCTTGAGGCACCTGTCCCAGCTGGTAAATGGTAGAGAGGAAATAGGACCGAGAGCTAAAAGTGAAATGAACAGCTCAGAGATCAGTGGAGGAGAGAGTATGACAGCTGAAGAAGCCGGGCAAGACGCCCTACGGAGGGGAAAGAATCTTGACTGGGGGGGGGGGCAGGAAGAGAGCAATCTGATGGGGGCAGCAGAGGCTGAGAGGCTGGGCCGCACGTGCAGGTTTGGGGAGCAGGGCCTGGCCTGGTGCTATGCTGACGGTGTGTTACTTCCTGTCCATATTAGGAGCTGGCTGGAGGGCTGGCCGAAGTGTTTCCGTGGCCAGCTCAAAGACCAGGTCCCACATAATTAGGAGGCATTATTAAAAATATAAAGGAAAAATACAGCCTAGATCAAGTCACTTAAAGGGAAACTTAAGGAAGAGTTTACCCCTTTCCTCAATAACAAAAACTGAGCAGGTAGCATTCCAAGTTAGAGAATGAGAAATGTAGAAAAGTTCTGTGGCCTTAAGAAGGCAAAGAGCCCTGGCTGGTGTGGCTCAGTTGGCTGAGCGTCGTCCTAGGAGATTCCTGGGCACATACCCGGGTTGTGGGTTCAATCGTGTGTGTGTGTGTGTGTGTGTGTGTGTGTAGGTTGGGGGGGAGACGTGTAGGAGGCAGCTGGTGCACGTATCTCTCTCATCGATGTTTCTCTCTCTCTCTCTCTCTCAAATAAATAAAAACATGAAGGCAATGACCCATGAAAGGGCCGGGAGCTAAAACTGGCAGTTGAGCTAGTTAAATTCAGGTGTTCCCACTTCCATCCATGCTGATGAAAAAAAATCAGTGTGTGTGCAGGAAGCCACACACAGCAGTCCCTGCCTGCAGAGGCAACGAGAGAACAATCTAGGAAGGAAGTTATCCTGAGCTCTGAGGGAAAGTTTCAGCCAATCTTTCATCAACCTGAAGGAGGAAATCTTCTACTAAACAAACGGCAGTCTCTGAGCACATTCAGGTTCGGGTGCTTCATGAGTAGGGCTGGACAGAAGTTCAGGATTCTCTAGGTTGGGCCAGATAGTAGGAGAGAGAAGGGCCATGACCAGGAGATATGGACAAAGCACTAAGACCCAGGTTTCTGCAGCACACACTGTGTTTGAGTTGCCCAGTGCTTTAGGGGGCTAATATTTGTTGCAGAAAAATAGAATAGGATCCTCCCACCTCTCAATAGTACTGCCGCAGAAACACTATATCCCTGCCAAAAATGGAATCATTTTATTGATATTATATTAATATCATCTGTAAATCTGGCATATACAATACAACTTATTCCTTACTAAATAAAATAGGCAAAGGAAATAACAAAATATTCACTTAAAAACATATTAATAAGGACCTCTAGGGAGAGGCCCTGGTTGGAGTTGGGGGTGGGAGTAGTGGGGGTAGAGGGCAAGATTAGGGCAAAAGGGTAGGAGACATATTTTTCACTTTATAGCCTTTTGTGTCAATTTAACTTTGTATAATATGTATACATTACCTATTCAAATATATATGCATTGATTAGTCACATTTTGAGTAAATAAAAATCCATGAAGTTTTACATTTTAATGGCACTATTGATTAGTGACAATCAAAAGGTTACTAAATAATCAAAGATGTATCATCCAAGCAAATCTAACATTCTAGACCAGTTAAAACAAAAACAAAAACCGTTATGAGTGGATGAGACCACAGTCAGAATAAAGCAAAGCCTAAACTGCTGGACTAGAATTTATGTGTACTTCTACCTAGCATGCCATTAAATAATAATGATGATAATAACATCAGTTCATACTTCTATTTACACTTTGTATATCCAGGCACGATCCTAAAAACTGCTGTAACATTTCTAAGTGCTGCTATGATGTTGTTGGTCTAATAAGCATTTATAAAAAATATTCAGCATCCTGGATAGACAAAATCCTGGTGAATATTAAACACTGAGAAACATTTGAAAGCTGCCCAGAATATGGATGCATAGCCATTTATAAATATATATTTTTTCCATACCATGAAAAAACCAATTCTTCCATAAAGTGACACATGGCAATGATGAGGTTCAAAAGAAACTTTGTGACAGTGGATATATTTCACATGTGGGAACTTACCAAGGGTGTGTCTTTTCCTCCCACAATGCTGAGACCAAGACCTGAACGTCCCTTGGATATTTCTATAATCATCTCCTGGCCGGGGACGATGGGACACGTGGCAGGGTCCACTGAGAGAGGAGTCTGGAAACCACCTGGAGGAGTGAACATGGAAGGAGCGGCCAGTGGGGGGCGGAGCTCGGCTCATGCACCTGCAGAGCATGCGCTCTGCGTGTGCTTATCACTTTACTCTCTTTCTCCCAAGCACCACGAGGGAAAAGGCTGGGTCATTCCTGCCCATTCACCCCGGGATGAAACATAACATTCCCATGGCACTTTTCAGATTAAAGCAATTAGTACCCCGCATCATCCATTTTAGCTCGAAAAATTTTTAATCTTAAAATATACCATAAAGTATGATATAACGGAAAGAAAAAATAACCAATTACCTAAAAATTACCCCAAATATATACATAGTAAAAAAAAAAAAAGTGTTATAAACACAACTCAAGAATTAATTGCTGGGGGGCGGGGGGAGAATTAATTGCTGGCTCCATAAATGAAAAGATTATTAAAAGTATTATTGCTGCTTTATAAGGATTTACTTTTTGGAACCACTGTTTTAGACTGTTTTTTTTCTAAAAACTAGGAGAGAAAAATTTACAGGCTAAGAAAAGATTTTCAGTATTTAGCATAAATTCTACATATCTGCATTCTCCAGATGACTTAACCTAGCTCACTGAAAAACCAAAACAGTCAAACGTTATTCTCAAGAGAATCTTATACAAATAATAGTCTTTTTTCTATAACTAAGTTTGATCATCCTGCATATTGATTCTTACAATGTGATATAATTTAGTAAAGGGCTGATAATAGAGGGCCCCATCTGCTGGTGAGCTGCAGCTAATGCACCGGGGTCAAGTTGAGATCCACAAAGCTCATTCAACTTATGGGGAAGCAAGGGTGTGCGGATTGACTAGATATGGTCTGATGGCGAAGAATGATTTTTACATCGTCAGAAGGTTGGGGAAAAAAGGTATTTCAGGACACGTGAAAATCATACGAAATTCAAATTTCAATGTCCATAAATAAAGCTGCATTGGAACACAGCCCTGCTAATTCATTACATCTAGCCTGTGGCTGCTACCACACTACAATGGCATAGTTGAGTAGCTGCAACAGAGACCATATGGCCCACAAGCCTTCAATATTTACTATCTGGCTCTTTACAGAAAAAGTTGGCCAATCCCTGGTATAAAACAAAAGGAAACAGGCTCTAGGTAAGACTGTGGGGGTCCTGTCTGACTAGGCAATAATCATGGTCTTTGTGACCAAAGGGTACAGGTTTGAATTTGAGTTCCCAAAAAGGAAAGTACTAGGTGGGTGAAACTGAGGCTCACTCCTCATCAGAGAAATGCTGTACCAACATCTAATAGGCTGTTAGAGGAATTAAACGTGTGTGAGGTACCCTGCCCAGGGTCTGGCAGATTGTAGCATTCATTTATTTGCTGTTCCTGACCACATGGAATTTATTAATCTAATGGCCTCTTGGTGAAGAGCAAGAAAGTTAGGGACACAACCTTAGTAACAATAAAAAAATGCCATATTAGAAGTAGAATGGTATAAACCTGATTTCTCTTTTGATGTTTTTGCAGCGTATGTATTTCATACTTCATATCCCATTACTAACAATAAAAACAATGTACATCTACTTCATGGATGCTTTATAAAGTTTATACTCCTTTTGTAAATGACTAGTTTAGTCTCTTGAGCGAGAAGAGAGGGATCATATAGTAAGAGACGCTGGAGACGGCGCTTCCTTCCCTCCCCCTCTCCTGCCTCAGCCCAGCCAGTCCTGACTCCGTCTTGGTATTCACTTCTCTCACAGAATGCAGCCCAGAGCCTCACACACGCCAAGTCCCAATAAATGCTTCATAAGTAGATGACTGACTGAATACATTTCCACAAATTGTAGGACGATTAATCTCTGTTCTCAAGGTATAAATATGTGATATATATGATCAAAACTCAATTGGTCTGCATCGCAGTCAGCAACCTTTTCCAGTAAAAGGCCAGGTAGTAAATATTTTGGGCTTTATAGGGCATATGGTCTCTGTTGCAATCATGCAACTTTATCCTTATAGTGTGAAAGCAGCCCGAGACAATACATAAACAAATGAGTATTTCAAAAAACTTTACTTATAGACACTGAAATGTGAATTTCACATAATTTTCAATATGCTTTTGATTTTTTTTCAACTTTTAAAAAATCTGAAAACCATTTGTAGCTTGCAGACCATATGAAAACAGAGGGCAAGCCAAATCTGACCCGGGGTCCTTTGCTGGTCACATTCATCAGGTATTTTAGTAAACATCTAGTTCTTTAGAATAGTAACTTCTTATTAAATGTTTTATGAGATAATATTTATGAAAAATATGTAAAGGATAAATACCATAAGGTGTCAGGCCTGCTAAATTCATGCAGATTTATGCTTTGCCATTGGGGAGCATGGTGGTGTAAACAGTCCTCTTTTCCCCCCTTTTATTGACTTATATTGCATAAAAGCAAAATGGAAATACTCATTATTCATTTTGAAGTTCTATTTTTGACCGCCAGTCATCATAATTCAAGCCAGGAATTCAAAGAGAGAGAGTGAATACCAATTTCTCTAAGCACTGAAAATTAAGTCTGCAAGTAGCTTACATCAATGTATGCACGGCTAACAATTTGGCTCAATAAGATTTTTAAGCGATATTACTCATGAACTAAACCCCCCAACCTTTTGGAGAGATGAGAGAATAATTTGTAAGCTACAGATTCAAACAGCATTTACCGAGGGCCTTTTTTTTACGTTCTAGTACTTTTATACTCAGTAAGCAATAGGCAATCCCAATGACAGAGATGAGGAAAATGGTGTGGGGAGTAAAGTGACCTGGCCAAGTCTCAAAGCTGAGGAAGGGAAGGAGGGTACAAAGCCAAGCTTCCAGTGCTCTTTTCAGGGCATCATGATCCCTTCCTTTTTTAAAGTACGATGAGTCAATTCAATTCTGCTCAGAGAAAGCACCTTACCACAGCCTGTGAAGTCTGCACCTGCTGAATGGTACGATGGAGTTGGTGCTAAAGGTATCTCTTGTGCACTGAAGGAGACTTTCATTGATTTTTGCTGTTTCATTTGGCTGACAGCCTGTAAAAGGAAGGAAAGTTCAACAAATGTCAAAGAAAAGACTTTAAAATTAGTCTGTTGTTACCAAAACAACAGTACCCTCCAATAATGTCTTTTGAGAATGAGAGTAGGAGAGGGGGCCAGAGGAAGTTAGGATGATTCCTGTCCCGTTCCCCATGCTCCCCGAGTGAACCGTCTCAAACGCTTTGGTGAAGAATGGGTCCAGGAAGGGGAGAAGATAAAAGCAGGAGATGCTCTACTGCTGTGGTCTGTGTATGAAGCTGGGACTGGGAAGCAAAACCAAAATTTTAACAATTTTGCCTCATTCTGATGAAATCAACGTGAAGTCCATACATCCGTGCTGTGCCCAACGAAAAAGAATCTCTGCTCAGGTGCTGTGAGCATGCCACACCACCCGTCTCTTCGGGACGCATTCACAATAGTCAGTGATGCATTAGGTAGGTTAATTGAGCAACATGAGTGGGAGGAAGAGACAACAAACATCTACTGAAGGCCCACTAAATGCCAGGGACACCAATCACATCTAAGTCCCCTAAAACAACTGTACCTTGTTCAGTTTTGGTCCCCATAGTAGGGCCTCCACAAATGTTTGATGAATGAATGAATAAGCGAATAACTGCATATAGAAGAGCAAAACTGAAGACATGGAAACTCAGAGTAGGAAATGAGTAATTCAGTGAAGGTACAGAGACCTTTGCTAGGTGAGCTTTAGAAAATGAATTTGTGATTCTGGGTTACTGTCAATGATACCACCAATGAATATTAGTATCAGAAAACTAAAAAAAAACAAAAGGACTCCATGCTTGCTTAACAGGCAGTTAAGAAATATAGGTAGTGACCTAACCTGCCTTCTGGATCTGTAGTTAGCCAGGGAACCCATCCCCAGCTGGAAGATTCTGGTGGAGGCAGTGAAGCACCAGGCTGTCCCTGGAGTCTAGAAATAGGATCAAGGTAACTGCTCCAGAACAATAACACCTCAATTCTGTCAGTGGAAGGCAGTGCCTCAGTACAAGGCATTGTGCAGTACTTATCAATTAAAACAATACCACCCACTGTGTGCCTGCATTGTGCTTTCCAGTTTTCAAAAACACTTCTACATCCATGAATTTAATCATGAAAACAAGTTGGAGAGTTAGATGATATTACTATCTTTTCTAGATAAAGAAACCAAGGCACAAATATCAAGTGGCATATTGAAATCACACAGCTAATTAGAGGAAGAGGACTAACAGTCGGTAGTTGAAGAATGCTACAAGTTTATCAAATAGCTGCTAGGCAATAACTGAACAGATGTTTACTTTTCTCCTGTAGTTTTCCTACCACCATCATTTAATAATGACCATATACTTATAAAAAAACTTATTCAAATACATATTTTCAGTACTTTTAAAAAGAGGGAAGTGAAAGAATGACAAATAAGGGGTTACTACCAGAACCTAAACAACAGAACCAAATAGATGTCTGATTACTCTAAAAACCATCTTCCCTAGGTTCCATGATGCTAGATGTGTCCACAGAGAAAGTTCTGGTCAATGGGATGTAAACAGACATGAACTATATAATTTTCAGATCATTCTCTTAAGGAGAAGGCTCATACCTTCCCCTTCTCCCTAGCTGAAAGTGGATGGAATGGTACTACCTGGAGTGGCCATCTTAAAATTGGATACCATGTTCTGAGGGCGACAGAGTAATCAAATAAGAATGGTATAGTAACCAGCCCTGGCCAGTGTGGCTCAGTTGGTCGGGCGTTGTCCTGTGCACCAAAAGGCTGCCTCTTTGATTCCCGGTCAGAGCACATGCCCAGGCTGCGGTCTTGATCCCCAATAGGGGATGTGCAGGAGGCAGCCAATCAATGTTTCTCTCTCTCTCCCTCTCCTTTCCTCTCTCTCTAAAAATCAATTAAAAAATACTTTTTAAAAAAAAGAATGGTATAGTAATGATATAAGGGGTGCTTGGGTCCGTGACACCATGGAGACAACATATCACCCTCAATCTGATCACATCCTGACTGTTATGTAAAAGAGGAACTTCTTGTTGCGAATCAGCCTAATCTCAATTCATACTGTACTAATGTCCAACTTCCGTTTTGTGTCATCTCACAAAAGAACCTCTATAACAAAGGTGAATGCATGCTACAGAGTTTTTTTATGAAAAAAGTCGTGTGAATTTTAAAACGGGAAAGCACAAGAGACAGCAAGCACCACAGCATGACTTTTATAAAGAGCAGGGAATGTCTGTTCCTCACCTTTCTATCCCAGTTCCACATATCATCCCCTTTCATTATGAATAATAGGCTTCCAATACATATTGGTAGAACTGAACTCAATTAAAAAAATAGGAAACAGTCCATAGAAACCAAGGAAAACATCCAAATAAGTCTATTTAGAGGTAGACCTTTTGTTGGTAGGTGTGGTAATAGAGGAACCATATGTTCCCATGACTCACTCGCTGACACAAAACGATGAAAGGTAAGAAAGACTGGATTTGCTGTTGAATGTTACTATATTCAAATATGAGAGCTGGAATGGACTAAAAAGTCATCCAAGCTAACTAACCAGTGGTTCTCAACCCTGGCTGCATAATAGGAACTGCTAAGGAGCTTTTAAAATTTATGGATACTGGAACCCCAACCTAGACCAAATAATTTGGCACCGAGGGGTGAATTATTTCTTAATGTTAAATCATGGATTCTTAACACAGAATAAATGGGTCTCTAAGACATACACAGAGGGAATTCTGGAAATGATAAAATCTCTGTGATTGTATCAAAATTATACTTATTGGTGTTTTTCTGGGGAAAGGGCCTAGACTTCATCAGGTCTTCATAACTGGTGAAAAAAATTACTACTCGAAAGAATATACGAATTGCTAAGTTTGTTGGTGGCCACAGGCAAGTCACTTAATCTCCTTACCCTAAACTTCCTCATCTGATTCAAAGTAGGTGGCGACACCTCTATACTTTGCATGGTTGTTATGAAGATTAAAGAGAAAACTACATAAATAAATCGAGCACTGTGCCAGGAACAACTCAGGAATTCAGTTAATAATGGCTATGAATGTCTTTATGTCCTTTGATAATATATTAATAAACAATCAGCCAGCTTCTGATTGAAAACCTTCAGGGATGGAAAATTCCACTTCCATAAGGAAGCTCATTCCGGCTTGGCGCAGCTCGAATGTTTGGGGAGTTCTCTGTAATGAGCTCACACAGACTCCCTGCAGATGTTGCCCACTGATCTCTGGGCCGGTTCTCTTCTGCAGCCACAGAAAAGGCTTATAATCACTTCCCCAAAGGACAATGTTTTAAAAGTACTCATTTTTTTGCAGCAGGAAAAAGAAAGACTGGTTGTAAAATTTTAGAAATGTTTGAAGATGTTTGATCTGTGCCTTGAGATAGATGGCAGTAAATAAAGTCTTAACACATAAATAGTATTTGCAAATATATAAAGTAAAAAATGTGATTTTAGACTTTAAAAAATAATTGCTAACAGGTTTCAGTTGAACTGAACTGGGTTATTTTTAAGCTTCTTTCTATACCTATTTGTTTTTATTGAGGTTTTTAGTATAGGATTTTGGAAGACTTTTTAAAGGCATTTTCTTTGGCAAGTTTGAAATATTGCATATTTTCTGTAAGCTCTAGTAATCCAAAGATTCTTAAACATAGAAATGATTAATATAATAATAATAATATAAATTTTAGGAGCACAAAAGTAAAAACTAGCACACAGAAATGAGAATTGGGGCTTAAACAAGAAAATAGCAGCAACAAAAGTACAAAAATTTGACAGAGAGAAGTTTATAGTTTTTAAGAGAAGTAACACTCAAAATACAAGGAACACTAAAGTTTATTAAACAATGAGTTTTCCCATTTCACATTTTTAGTTACGACATTATGTAAAACCCAGTGCACGTGTGTTTTCAGGCATGCCCTGCTTTTAAACACCTGCTTGGGGTGTTACTACCAGGAGATGTATAGAGGATATTTCCACACACCTTATACAGAATCGGTGACATGGTTGTGAGTTGACTTCAGGGTGTAAGACATACTATAACCTCCTGCCAAGTAAGAAAGGGTCTGATTTCATTGCAATCACCTCCTTTTCTTCTGGAACCTGCTTATAATGCACACCATCCCCGTGGAGCAAACCCTAAAGTGTAAGGTACGTACGCTGTCAGTGGAGCACTCCATTGCCTTCTGCGGCTCTGCCACCACACCCGGACTAACCGCCTGGGAGATGTCTTCCTGCAGTGAGAAGATACAACCAGTTAGCACCCTGTAGGGCTCAAGGGCACGTTCTAACGTCAGGTGTCAAGCACAATTTAACAGAGCTTCTGTCTCCTACAAAAATGACCAACACAACATGCCGGGCATAAAAGTTCTATTCATCCATCTGGACTAAGTCGCAGAAATGAATGCAAGCCTGTCATTTCCAAATGTTTTTTTTAACCCTTTCAGATCTGCTAGGCGTTAAGCCTATCAGATATCCTTGGTGGTTATTTTGACCAGGTTTTTTTTCTTCTATCACACCAGTAATCTCTACATTTGTATTTATATTCCATATTAAATCCTTTCAGGGTTCAAATCTTGATATTAGAACACCCATTAAGATATTCTATTAGAGACAAAAATACATTCATTAAAGACACTGGGAGATACTAAGATAAGTTAGTCTTGAACCCCACGGAGAAGTGCAGAGTCCAGACTTAGGAGAGAAGCAAACCATCAAAACATGAGAAACTGATGTATAGCTAAAGGGAAATTAACTGAAATAACTGATGACAATGATAAATAAATGACGACAATGAAAAATTGAGCACACTGCATATGTCTGCCTCCCACCATATCCTATCCTTTTTTACAGGCAAATTTAAGGGGAAATTATCATCTGATAGTTTACTCTAAGGCATGAAGTCCTGCACTTGCAGGGAACATGGACAGAGACTGATTTGGATAGGAGAGGGGATGGGTTTATTCTGGCCCTTGGTAAATATCTAAGAGACAGCCAGGTGACACATCTACACACAGATGGCAGGCAGGTAAGCTATCTGAAGATGAGAAGCATCACTTCTATAGTGGAGTGATAGGGGTCTGTGACCCTCGCTTCTCGACTGAAGAGTTCTGTGGCCCTGAGCAGGTTACATCTGACCTCTCAGAGCCTCAGTTTCCTCATCTATAAAATGGGGAAAAACTGGGATCCTGAAAAAATTAAATGGAGTAACACATGAAAAACACTTAGCCTTGTACCTGGCAAATAATAAATATTTAATAAAGACACTAATGATGATAATAAATGGAATCAACTAATGATAAACCCATGTTCCTAATTTTACTATAGGGTCGCTGAAAACAATCACCGGGATAGGACACTTTCTCTTTTGGGGAATGCTGGCATTCTGACACTTCCACCACCCTCACCCTCATGCTGGTTTCCTTTCGGGGCACACAGACATACCCTTTCTTCAATAGGTTCCCATGAGATTTTTTTTTTTTAATTCTCACCCCCTTTCTGGCAGACAGGCAGAGGAGCTGCTGGCAGCCATGCTCCCAGCATGCTGAGGATGTAAGTCTGCAGAAGAAGAGAGTCAAACTTGCAGAGACTTCTCTGGCAGCACCTGGCCTTTGGTCCTACTTGCCCCGGCGGCTGTCAACCCTGCCCTTGCTGCAGTTATGTAAAAAGAACCTGAGCCTATCAGTAAATTTCCTCTTCTGTCTATAAGGTCAAGTTGTGACCTTATTACTTGCAACCAAGAGGCTCCTGATTAAAAGGAAGTGGATCCCAGAAAAGATCTATCAGGATAACAAACTACAGGAGTCAGGCCTAAGGTAGCTAAACATAGATGAATGAAGTGCACTGAGTATAACAGGGCAAACTAGAGCGAGTGCTCAGCCTAAAAGTATTCCAATTCAACAATTTTAAAAACATGCCTATCAGACCAACAACAAACACAAATGGTTTACCGTTGATTTTGGTCCTTGGGCTTCTACTTTGTAGCCTCTGAATACACTACAAAAAGACACCTTTGCCTGGGTCAGTCCCAGCTTAATTTCTAAGCATTCATCTAACCCCTTGGATTAGGTGAAAGCACATTAGCAGAACCTACCACAGCACCTAAAGTTCCCCTTCAACAGCAGTCAGTAACACTAAGAATGACTTATCTAAAGTTGGATTCAAATCCTGCAGTGACACTTATTACTTGAGTGTCTCTGTGCCTCAGTTTCCTTACCTATAAAGTAGGGGTAATAACAGTCATCTAAAATATGAATTAACACATTTAGAATGTATTATTTGGAGTAAATGCTGTGAAAGTGTTAGCTGCCATGATTCTCAGCAGTTCTGAAAGCTCTGTGAAGGTGAAACCTGTGTGTCCTGTTCGCTGAGATTTGACCTGTGGCTGGCACAATGCCTAGGACATAACAGGCCTTCAATATAAATTTGCTTCATTTCTGCTCCCTTTGAAAGGTAAGATAATCAGCATAGGTTTTAGATGTTAGGATCTCAAAATTATGTCAACAAATAAGGCTTCCCTAGGGAAGTGAAACCTTTATGGACACAAAGAAGAGGGCCTGGGCAGCACTGAGTCCAAGAAGCTCTGGGATTCAGGGGATAGGACACTGGAAACAGGTAAGAAAGTCTGAGTTCTGGGTTCTGAGATGGGATGTTAGTTTCCTTCTCTGGGCCCTGAGTGCTAATTAATTATGATGGTAAGGTTACTTTCTTAATTTAGAAAAATCTGATAAGCAATAGCTTCCTTCTTGGCAAGTTGAATTTCAAGTTGAATAACAAGTCTCCAGAGTGGACCGGTTCAAGTAGCTGGGAGTGACTGTAAATCTGTGTTAAAAACATGCACCTATATTTCTGCTGTGTTTCAGCTCATGAGGTTACTTTACCTGCTCTGCTTGCTCGCTATGTTATCTCTACTTACAATGCAGAGGGGAAGGGAAGGGAAGAAAAAGCCACAAGCTTTTCTCTTGTGACTTGGTGAAGGAAGCAGACTTGACTGTAAATCTACTGTCTTTTTTAGGGCCAGGAAAGGGAAATTGATCATGTAGGCAAATCTCAAGTGATTGTCAGAAATACAAGATATAAAGTACAATGAACTGTGAAAAATGCCGCATATCTGAATGCACTTGAACTCTGCAGCTTGCATACTGCTGCAAATGAGAGGCCAGTGCTGACTCAGACACATTCTCTCCTGCTCTTTACGGGAACTTCCTAGATTCTTGCTATAAATGCAGTTGTCATACTGGATCTAAAACAGAAAATAAGATTCACACAGTGACATCTGCTCCCAGGAATCCTGCAGCTCTTGATGGAGTACCAATGGGAGGTAATAATGGATTGTGAGCACGCAGTTTGGAACATTGTTTTAAAAATAAGCAGGATACATACACACCTGAGAATTCCAGCCTGGAAGGCCTAACAAGAAGCTTATCATCATTAGAAACACATTTTAAACTCTTTTTCCAAACCTAGATGCCAGCATTCTAGAAACATTTAGAAATAATTTTTTAAGCTGAACCTGTATCAGAAATCACATGGCTTATTATTCCTTTAAAAGTTAAAATTCTACACTGAGCTCATTATCTTCTCCCACAAACCTGTTCTTTATCTCATGTTCTTCTTTCTTTAATTAGTGACCATATCAAGCTCCCACTTATCCAGGTTTAAAATAATGGCTTCCACTAATCTCTCTTCTTGCCTGCTTTCATCCTACCATTTGCACTCAAATGGTACCATTAGTACTTTTTGAGTCTAGGGACACCATATGAAGAAAAATAGATTTTTCTCAGACTGTGGAGTTTCACAGACCAGAAAAATTTCAAAGTAACTTTGGGGACATTAGAGTTACCCTTTTATTTGCCATATAATTGTGACAAAAGAAATACTGGGTTGGAACATATGAATTTGCCCTTTTGTAAGTCAAAGAAATGATCAAATATCAGTGATTTCAGAGGGCCCAACCTATTAAAGTCCTCTCCTCCCAACTACAATCATATATTATTACCATCCTGCCATCTGGGAAGAGCCATTTCAACACTAAAAATTCAGGTAGGGCACAGTCTTAAAGAGCAGTCCTTTAAACTGAATTCTCTGTGGTTATGATTTTTCACATTTCCCACAGGTCAATGAAAACTGTTATGGATGCACATGGGTCAATGTTATCTGAATAGAGGAGAAAGCTTGGAATTTGGAGTCTGACATTGTTTCTTATCTTGGTTCTTTTATTTTACTTATAGGTCATGTGCTCTATGACAAATCAGACTTCTCTAAAACCCAGCTTCTCTATGGGCTGACACCAGCTATCTCTAGGAGAGGCAGTACATATGACCAGGCCTCTGAGTCAAACGTATAAGGCTTCAGATCCTTACTGTGGCACTTGCTGCTTCTATGCCTTTGGGCAAGTGAGCTAACTTTTGGAATACCCAGGTCCCTTACCTGCAAATGGGAGATAATAATAATGCTTTATTACGAGGACGACAGAGATAACACACCGTCCAGTTCCTCACTAACAAGTGATGGACGAGACTACTACCGCCATCCCTACTGCTGCTTTTTGTCAGGATACGTGAGATAATATGTTAAAGCACCTACTGCAGTGATAGGTACATAATGATTAGCCATTAAATAATACTGCAAACTGTTTTGCAAACTGGCCATACCACTTCACATTCCTCCCCGCAAGATACGAGAGCTCCGATTTCTCCACATCCTTGACAGCACTTGCTACTATCTGTCTTTTTTATTAAAGCCGTCCTAGTAGGTGTGAAGTAGTATCTCATTAGGATGTGCATTTCTCTAATGGTTAATGAGGTCAAGTATCTTTTCATGTGTCTCTTGGCCATTTATATATCTTTGGAGAATGCCTACTGAGATCTTTACCCAGTTTTCAGTTGAGTTGTCCTAACTGAGTATTAGTATCTATACGAGCATAGAGAAAGAAATGAATAAGAATAAAAGAAACATAAACTGGCTTTACATCAAAGCAGAAAATTATGGAACCAGGCAGGGTTAGAGATCCAGGTGGTAGCAAGAATAGAGGCCGACTACTTATAAGAAAAAACCAGCACTCTATCTTCCTTTCTTTCTCTTTTCTCTCACTCCTTCTTCCAACCTAACTACTGAGCTTCTAAAGACAGCAAGCAGATGTGAACACTTGTCCTGGAACATCCCAAGCCCTTTAAGAAGCTCTGACAGTTCTGCTCATCATTGAATCCCCTGCTCACAGCACTGTCTGCCATACAAGAGATGGTCAATTAATATTTGCTGTTTGAACAAATAGATCACAGTGATATTTCAAGAAAAGCTGCCCATGTGAACTACATAGTGAAGACAAGATGGGCTTCAGAGGCAAAGAGAACTGGGATTGAGGTCCTCCCACCTGTGGGACCTTAGGAACAGACTTGCCATCTCTTAGCCTCAGTACCTTATCAGTAAAGTAGGCTAATAATATGTGCATCACTGGGTTCAACAAGATAACCAGTATGAGAGTACCTGGCACAGTTTAGTTTCCTGCATTTTATAAAACATATTTTTAGAGGTCTGCATCACTTTACTCAGCAATGTAAAAGGTAAGTTTTAGTATATTTAACTCTGTATTTATGCCACAGTTTTCTATGTTGGAATTCAAGTTTTAGACAGAAGGGAATGGAAGTCACAAAGTTCAATTCCCAGTGTAATTTGCTTGTCCTTTGCCTTCGGATTTGTTCTATGTCTGTACCTCTCTGAGAGGCAGTACGCATAGTGGTTTAAAGTGCAGCCTCCAGCCTCAAAGTGCATGGAACCCAGATGCAAGATTCACTGGGTGATTATTTAGGCAATTTATTTAACATTTTGAAACACACAGAGAAAAAAAAGTCCTTATTTCTTTCTAGAACTTGAAGTGTAATCCTGGAAATACTAGGCTGCCAAACACACAGGTAGGTTATGAGCAAAGGCACGGGAGTCAGAGCAAATGGGACCCATCTCCAGGTCTACAACGGCCCAGCAAGTCGCCTCTGGCAAGCTAGTTAACATCTCTGACCCTCAGTTTCCTCATGTGTAAAAGAAAGTTGTCTTCACCTACATTACAAGGGTCAGAAAATGCCTGGCACCCAGAAGTTCAATAAACACTAAAAAATAAATAAATACATAAATCAAACATTAGGATACATACAGACGAGGAGTTCTCTTAAAACTGCCTCTCTCCTACTATTCTAGCCCCTGGGTGAGTTTAAGTATAGTTTCCTATGAATCAATGGAATAAATTTCACATCTCTTTCTATGCTTCTAGGACTAACTCAGCATAGTCCTAGGCTTAAGGGCACCAATATTAAAAAGATCTGTAAGAGAGGCTGCCTCTTTAGTCCCAGACAGCACAATTCAAATGTGAAGAAAGGGAGAGGACATGCTACTCTTCGGAGTAAGTCACTCACTATACAGAACAGCTCAGGGATTAGGATTCCTAGAGAAGCAAACACAACAGCTGATCCTTTCCAAAGTGGCACAAACGTAAATATTACACCCCTAAAAAGAACACGAGCAAAACCACCCAGGATTCTCACCAATTTGGAGCTTTCACTTTCCGGTGATTGTTTAGTACCAACTTTGAGACCGCCGTCTTCCTCACTGCTAACAGGCTCGGTGCTGCTCTGATCCTAGAAGACATCAAAAACAAAATGGCACAGATGTCACTCTCCACTCAGTGACCTGAACTGTGCAGGTGCTCAATCACAGTTGCTCGTCTTATTTCTGTTTGGACATTGCTTCTTCTCCAGAAGCCATTCCTATTTTCTTTCTTTCCAGCAGAAGCCCCCCCCCCC